AACATCAATACATCACTGTTTTATAACAAAACAATGTACCACTGTGAAGTATCATACAACAATACACCGCTAATATTATTACCAACGCGGCACGTCAAGACAAACTTGACCACAGCGGCACTGTGAATCCATACTTCTGCTCAGGTAAAGACAATGAACCGTTCTGATTAATGGTATAAATGAAAAAAATCTTAAATTAATTTCCCGAGTGTTTATACGTGTAACATCCCCAGCAGGCAGTGGCTCCCTCTCTGGGTACTCCTCGAGACTCCCTTCCGCCCTCTGCGTCACCTTCTCACACAGTTGTAAATGAAAACTGATGGTTCTGTCTTTCACAAGCGGGAGGTTCTGAATAGCGCTACAAATTGCTTTATTATGACACGTACAGTTTATGTTCCGGAACACCATTGTCCGTGGCCTCTCTCTCTCTCTCTCTCTCTCTCTCTCTCTCTCTCTCTCTCTCTCTCTCTCTCTCTCTCTCTCTCTCTCTCTCTCTCTCTCAACTGCTGCTGCTAATACTACTACTACGAAACAATGAAATGTAGTTAGTTTTTAACACGACGTGGGACTCTTTCAATGCTCCAATAATTATCAGTACTCTAACACTTGGGGTGACAGATGTAAACAAACTTGGAAAATTAAGATAATCAGTTTTAATGATGTCGTATTTTAAATTGCTAAGTTTTCAGTCTTGCAAAAAGAAAACACTATTTAAGCTTCTGTCGCGTGAAATAAGAATATTCCTCATACAGAGAAAAACAAAAATTTCTGGCTTTTATGTTAATTTCAATTCTGTAGTTGCGACCAAACATACTTTCTCGCTGTCTTTAAGGCAGCTGAGGAACATTGAATAAGAAGAAATAAATATAACACTATAATACACATTGGCTTTGTGGCAGCATTTCTCACTATAAGAATGATATAAAAAATTATTTCCCCCGAAGTTTTCTTTATTATACGTAACTTAATTTTATCTTTATTAGAGAAAAAATAACAAATATAATATAATATTAAATAGTCATGTACCAAATAACTGTAAGAAAAAAATATAATTCGTGATGAATATGCTTTAGTACCAGAAAAAACTATATTTTTTTTCATATAGCGTAAAATGAATACAAATGTGAATACTGTTCAATATCCATTTATATAGTTATGACAATCACTGAATTTTTAATTAATACAGCTGCTTTTTGTTCAATTCAGACCGTTCCTCAAAAATTTATTCAGGAGGGGAGGCTATGTGTGTAGAGAATCTGTTTCCCTTTACAACCTGGATAGTAGCTGATCACTCTGGCTCAGGTAACGCGGTGAATACAACCTTGTAAATATATAATAACTTAATTTTCATAAGATAACTTGCCAAGAAACTACCTTCGTCCCCTGTGTTTTTAGCCTTAGGTGTTAAAGCACGTATGAATGGTATAGAACTAAAAATATTTCCCAGTGATGGGAATCTGTTGGACACGCACACACACACACACACACGCACACACACACACACACACATATCGAGTGTATGTGTACGAGTGTGTGCTTCTTTTAGCATATGTGCAAACTGTTTTAAATATTGCATTCTGTATTCTGACAGTTTATTTATAAGCAATTTACAGTGGGTAGCAGTTTGCGGGCAGGATTGTTATATATAGCAGACGAGAACCAAGGCACCGAGAATAACCTTTTTTAGGGAGAATATTTTAATATCTTTATATATAAATTCGTATAAGAAAATAATCTCTCGCCTTTCATATTATTTCCATATTAGAGGAGTTTGTTATAGAAAAAAGTTATTGATATATCTCTTCGCATACATCCAATTATGGTGCATAATTAATATTAGGCCACAGAGTTGAACAGTTCAATTCTGACACTCGCAATTGTATGATGTTTAAAAATAAAGAAATAGTAAAGATTGTGATGAAACTAGTATAAACACAATACCGAAACAGTAATATTGAAATAAGTAATGACGAAATACTAATAATCAAAATCTTGTTTACTTTATAATTGTAAAATGAAAATCCTAATCCTTTTGTGTACGTAAAAAACATCTTGTGAGCTGCATTTTTCACCATACGGACTATCGGGTTCACTCCAGTTCTCGAGAAATATTGATCAAAATCTTCCAAGAAACACAGCAAGGTTATCGTGTGTGAGCGGCTTTTCAATACAGTGTGTGGGTCATTGTGGCGACTCTTGGTGAATACTGATGCTAACGTGAATGAATATCAGTGGTGTACCAAAACAAAATAATAACATAGATGGATAGATGATAATAATACTAATAATAATACTAATAATACTAATAATAAATCACTGGCTGTAAATCTCTTAAAAAATTATTTTCAGCTTCACACGCCCACCGTAAGAAGCTTAAAAGTTTTATAGGACTTAGGAAACTCAGTGTTGGAGATTTGCGAAGGTTATTTTTTCGAAAACAATACAGTGTTTAGACTGATGGTTTATACTGGTAGGATCTCCGCTTACAAGTAACATGTATATGAGTGTTATTTGTCCTGTGTTATGAACTACTGTACATATAAGCCTTGCTATAAATGTTGAATGTTGACAATTGGTACAAATTCATTAATATCGTTATTATTAATGGATGCATATTATGACGGGGTCCCCTTATATCACATTCTTCTTATTGGGAATTTTGCCACCCAACTATTCCTTACTTCCTCTTTATAAACACAAGCACTGACTAGTCCAGTCCACTATCGAGATGCTTACGATGATTGAGCTACACTTAAAGATTTATCGTTTGTTCGAATATTATAGCTTATGTGTAATAAAGCTTTTTGAGTGGCACATAACAGCAATACAACTAGCAAGTGTAGTGTTTTCATATGACTTATAAATCTCTCAAAATTTGCCATGGTGAGGGCATAAAGATTATGGATATGCATGTTAATGGAAGATCGATCCCAGACAAATATACTCCAACAAAGGAACGAAAACTGTAAATAAAAGCATGAAAAATATTACAATTATATTTAGGGCGAATTGGTTAAAAAAAAGGTAAAAATTATCACAAAAGGACTAATGCTTTAGAAAATAAATGGGTAGGAATAAAATCGCAATGGTGAATTATTTATTTCTTTTGTCTTTTAAATATTGTGTAATGAAACGAAACAAGAGAAGTCACTTAAGTTAACGTTCCTTAGTATGCAAGTGTTACCAAGTTGAGTTACATTTTCGGTATTATTTCTAACTGCTACTTACTGGTATCTCATAAACCATAACAAATAGAGGGAAGATCCTTAACATTTAACAGAAACTCAATAACAATAACTACTTGTTTTTCGCAGTCTCGAGTTCCCAAGCACCACTACTCTGTGTTGAGCTTCGTTTATATCGAGTCTTTGCCGATAATATCCCGTGCACAGATCTGCTGAACACAAGGTTTAACTGGGCTTTAAGTCACGCTTTACGCGTACAGGGGAGAGAATAGCCTGCAGATACACCACAATAATCACTTGAGATATTCTGAAGTGAAATAAACATTGGAAGAGTTGTGGTAGTCAAACGTATATCAGACGAGAACGAAAATAACACTGTTTGACACTGGCTGACGGACAATTTTTTTTAGCTTTTTACGTTTCACACAAAGCCATTTAAATTTGTAGACTTTAAAACATTTTTGTTTACACATTTTTACAAATAATATTTCATACGACTTTATCCCAGAATTTATAATATAGTAATATACCTAAAAAAATGGCTTGTTTGTGGTACATTAAAAAAATAAATATGTTTGGGTTTACATGGCGGTGTGATTGCATTTAATTAATATTCACGGCATGAATATTTGATTTATCATAAAGTAAATGATAAGTCGGTAATTGTGTTGTTACCCCCACATATATATTTTTTATTTACCACATTCCACAACTAACACAAACAATATACCATTAATGAACGATGATTCAGTGATGTATTTCCTTGTATCCAACATCACAACATCTTAATTTCTGCCTCCACATTAATAACTTTTGAATTATTTAACATATCAAAAGCTAAACCCGTCTTCATATGAGGTACTTACATTTGCACCCTTAAACTTCATGAATATTCCAACATAAACTTGCAACGCACACTCTGGAAGTCAACGGATCTCGTAAACTAATTAAATTATTCTCAAAGTACGGCCTTCTTTTCTACTACTTCTTTTTCTACTTTTTCCATTTTTTCTATTTGCATTTCATCCCATTTCCAAAACAAACTCCGATATTACGTGGAATGCTCTGTTAATATTCGCATAAGTGCCACTAAGTTTCTCCCAAGATCGTCCTTGACAAGTGCAGTATATCTAAAATTTATACACCTGTTCCTTATTCCATGTCTTCTCACCATCCGTCTGGTAGGACCGTAAACCTCATTTCTGCCGTCCGGGATTCTTTATCATCGTTTTTATTATGTCTCTAGAAGAGCTGCCCGTGCTGCAATCAGAGCCAAGTCGTCCAGCCAACAGCTATTCACCGTGAACGTGAGGACTCGCTCCCACGACCTGCCACCAACACCGCTGTCAGTACTCACCAGCGTCAACACCCTTCACTAACCTCATAAGGTCTTCGCTCATGTCTTTGGGCCATTTCTTCCCGCATGTGTTTCTCATAAATATTCCAAGCAGCTTTATAGAGTCTGAGCCAACAGACACACATCTGCCATCACCAATAAATCAATAGCAAAGGATATGACGTACTAGGTATGTTCTCCCTTGTGCAATGTTCAGGGTCAATGGCGATTAAACTACCTTTTTAACAACAAAAATAATATATATATATATATATATATATATATATATATATATATATATATATATATATATATAGCCAAAGTCTATTTCAAATAAAAGTAATGAAAATAAGCCTAAAATGCCATCACTTTACGGACAAAAACGCGTCCTTTATCGACTTGAGGTGTTGGGGAACATTTACTCCTTGTCAAATTATAACTTTGAATACACGTAAAATGTACGCAAACAAAATACTCACCGCCACTATACCGTTCAGTATCTACACAATCCAAGGAAAAACACATTTAAACACACAACAAACTGCGACAACTACTGCGGCAATAGTTTAAATTCCCACGAGAGTTCACTTCACGTTTCACTATGGAGCCGCGACGGAGGCGGAGCGCACAACCTCACACGGCGACCACTCGACGACAACTGAATCCTCCTAGCTCACCACACCCGCCCACTTCCCTGGCTTACAGCTATGTCACCAACACCACCCACTTTCCTCTTCCCAATTAACTACTCTTCACCTACCAAGTTAAACTTGCTCCTTGCCATCAAAAAACCTGTTTCCTAAACACATCCTTTTTTTTCAGTATTTTTTCCAGTAAAACTCGTTCTTTGAAAAAAACTCAATTTCCCAGCAAAAGTCATCCCCCCACCAAAACTTTTCATCCTCCAAACAGAATTAATTCATCAACAAACCACCTCATTTTCTTAGCAAACTCCCTAATCCTTGCAAACTCTTTACTCACCTTGTAAAACTCCTTATTTTCTTTAACCTTGTAATAATCTAGACAAATCTTCCCATTCCCATGATAATTCACGTATCTTAGCAAAGTCAGTTGTCTGCCTAGAGAAACTTTCTTTTTTTTTCATTATAAAACATTTTCTATCTTTCGGGAAATTCCCCCATTTTCCGAACAGCTCGTCATTTTCCCTAAAAAACTCGGATATTTTCTATTTTATCTCGTTAGATTGTCATTGACGAAGCTTTTCATCTCTTCAGCAACTCGTCAACCCTCATTGCAGGTAAACAAATCAATTAATACATTACTTCGGGGCTTATTTTGTCAGGAACTAGACCCTCATACAGAGTGTGATAGGTAAGATATCACGGCAAACGCGCTATTTTACCGTGAAGTTAAATTATGAAACTGAAATGACTAAAGCAAACATACACAAACTAGCTTAACTGAAATATATTTTAATATCGTTAGGTTAGGTTAGCTAAGCTAAGTTAAGCTAAGCTAGGATGGGTTATGTTAGGTTAGAGGTAAGCTAGGATATGTTTGGGTGGTTAATAAAAACTTCAAGGCATAACTGTACCTACTTTTGATAGCCGATTCATTTCATGATATCCACTGCTGTATATTAAAGTGAAATAAATTTTCTTAAAGTTTTATATTTTCAAATAAACACTTCACATTCCCCCTTACTTATTTACCTTCCCCACAACTCCAATAAAGAATACTTCCTAGCAATTTGTGTCGTTGTGACGATAAAAAAATGAAATGCAATAATATTAATTTGATTATGTAGATTAGCTAGGCGACGAAATATGTTTATGAAGTCCTTTTAATAATGCAGTATAAGGTACTACTATAAGTCTGTTTTATTTTTGTATGAATACATGACAAAATTCATTGCAGTAAATAAGGATTAATAGCAACTGACTGTAATCACAAAAACGATGAACAAAAAACAAGACATTAAATTATACAAATCGATGTTACCACAATTAACAAAAGCTGCAGTCTGGAACTCACACGAATACCTTCTCTATATCATCATTTGCAACATAAAGCGAACATAATAACCCAATATGGAGGCCAAAAATTTTGTTTAATCAGTAAGTAATAAAGTTATTTACATGTGATAAATGTTAATCGGATTTGTGCTGTGGTGTTATTGAGTTTCACATTAGCATTATGGAGAACGTTTGTAAATAAGATCACTAGTGCGATACTCACCGATAATCCGGGTCGAAACAATACCACAGCTTTATGTTAATCTTATTTCTTCATCTATGATCTTCTAAACATTTGACCCGGGCCAATATTACGAATCTTCAACCTTCTGCCGAGTTTCGTTTGAGATTCATCTCTTAATTACGATTATATAAACGAGATAATGTCAAGTTTCATTATACTTCCGCGATGATAATGAGGAAAAGACTAAGCAGACTTAACCTGGTATTAATGTACAACGCAAAATTTCATTAAAAATGCAAATAAGACGTCTTTCAGGCTTTCAAAAATTTACCTTCTCTTCATCTTTTATCTTTATCATTTGATGAATAAATATGAGCAGCAGTTGGCGTCAGGGTTCAACCTGTCTATAAGACGATTACACAGCTTAACAAAATATATCGTAGGCAAGTCAAAGGTACAGCCTCAATTGTAATGGGGTGAGGATTTACACAAGGCAAATCCTGTCACAAACTAAAATAATCATTGATAAAAAAGTGATCACAGAAATACACAATTACGTTCATTAAAGACGTATCAGGTATAACACTTCATTTTATATTTTTCCATCGGTAGACTCGCCCATTTCTCTCCTGTCTCTGCTATTCTGGCAATCCATCACCCACCCACTGGCTATTTCTTTACGTATTTGCTTTTAGATACATGAAGCACCTAAATATTTCATTGTCTCTAAAGATAAATATTTCCTATCTGTCTCCTTTATCTATTCATGTACACCACTTTACGTTTGTTCACATTCTCTGTTAACTTCTCCTTTTATACGAACTTCCAAACTCATTCAATAACATTCATATCATTCTTCATGCTCATGCATGAAAATATGAACAACTGTGGCGACCTTACACAACCTGCACGTAATCCTACTTTCAATGTGTACCTCTTCTTTTCCGAAAACATTTTAAAAACGCCTTCACTCGGCCCATACAACCTTTTGACAACATTCAATGATTTCCCATTATAATATAAATTCTCAAAACTGCTAATTTTGCGCTTCTCTCAACTCTCCCATGTACATCTTCTAGATCCATGAGTGCCACAAGCAAATTCTTCCCTTTCTTCACATATTTTCACCCAAAATACTTACATAATACATATTATTTGTCTTCTCTAAAAACCTTGACTGCTCTACCCCTGACTCACTCTATACATGAACACAAATTTCTCTTATATTGACTACCGCTCCATACCTAAATATATTTCACGAACTTATTTGCCTATAACATTAACATTTATTCCTATCACCTTTTCCCCTCTTTATATATATATATATATATATATATATATATATATATATATATATATATATATATATATATATATATATATATATATATATACAGTACAACGGGTAGCATATTTGATTAACTACTCAGCTAGCTTCATATATACTATACCTTGTTTCAGCTGTGTGACTGAAAGTCCGGGAAAAAAGTTTCGTTGGTGATATACTACCTTTTGTTATCCAGTAGATGATGTGACCTTGTCCTCTGTTGGTCTGTAGTTATGTGGCCTGATTACTGCTCTCATACGTTGACTTAACATCTTATCTGTCCATGGACTTCGCTGGTCCCGCTTTATAAGCAGAGCCTATATCTTCCCACGCTTTTAAAAAGATGGAGTAAATGCACTTTTTTCCGTCAATCACTTTTTCACATTCATAAATTAGCAATGGGGATGCGTATTAATCAAGTGACATTTAGTTCAGATAAAATTCATGTTGTTTATTAATACAGTATATAACAATTTTGTAAAGGCATTCCAGCCAAGTTTATTTTTTTTTTATTTTGCCAAATTGATTTTCGTTGGCTGTCTCGACCAACTTGCCAAAATACGTTAATTCCATGATTCGTTAAATTCTTGAATTGTTGGTCATAAAGTATTTCGCCTTTTTATATAAAACGTGGAAGCACTTCAATTTTTTAACCTAACCTAACCTAACCTAATGCATCGGCCTTGGCAACCTAACCGATAATGAGATGCCAAAGTCTGCATTACTCACCAATTGTGAACACTCATCATATTTATGTTCAAGTTTAGGGGTCAGGTCGTTGTGTTCTGATAGCCTCTGTTGCTAGCGGCAGATGCTATTTGTACCTATTTATACTAAAAATGCAACCATGTGAAGGTCATAGTGACACCTAATGCACGTTGATCAATCTAACGACAACTTAATTATTGCTCTGAATATTTTATGATATTCCTACACCTTTTATACACAACAAGAGTGAAACTACGAAAACCATACGGTGTCGCTTCGAAGCTGAATAAAATCGTCGTCTGGCATTTATCAAATAAAATATTAAAAGAGGCGTCCCCGTAGTGAGGAGATTAACGTTAAAGATCCGGGGATCAGGTGGCGTGTTAATGTTTGGGTTAGTTTAGGTTAGGTTAGGTTAGGTTAGGTTAGGTTAGGTGATCTCTGTGATCTGACACATGTGCGGTGGCATTTTGATAGCTGAAGTCACAGGCATACACTGAAAGGTCGACTCCCTCATTAGTTGGTGTAAATTTGAGACTTTATTTAGATTTCGGATTTTGTTTGTGAATGAAAGTTTACTCAACCTAACTTTATTTCATTAAAAGGATGTGTTATACAATGTAAGATAGTTAGCCTGAATTGTGCATGAGATTGAAATGTTTTAGGAGGGACGCTTATTAGGAGACGCACCACGCTCTATCTCATATAGCTGCTGATTGGCTGAGGTAACACGCCCTTTTATAACACCTCACCTGATTGGCTGCGATTACCTTCGTTCCACATTTTAGGTGTTCACGAGTAGTCTATTTGGTACCATGAGTAGTTGGCACAATCGAGGATAGTAATAGTATGGACTAAACCGATGGATAATGTTTATGTTTACAATTTTCCACATGCAGGTAAATAAGACTTTACTATAGATGGTTTTTACAATCAACATTTCTGAAAAGGATCATAGATGTTGTATATTTTCTAATTATTTCGTTAATATCATCTTGTTATAGAGTATCTGCACATGTCCAAATCCAGTAACTTATGTCTTTAAGCTTCTTCAAATCCTGGAAGAAGGACATTCTCCATACCTAGGATAGCAATAACGGCATATGCTAAAATTCTTGTCAATTAGTCAACATGATATTTCCTAACTGTGCCCCAGCGCGAGATGAATTATAAGACACATCCGGCATCATTATCAACACTAAAATTAAATAATTTTTCATAAATTTCTAAGCAATACTAGTGAATACAGAGTTTCCATTAAGATATTCTCAAAGTATTTTATGTTGATAGCTACAACATGAGCGTCTTGGACTTCAAATGATGTCTCTTTAAGTTTCCAATTTTCTGGGAGAGAGAAAGAGAGCTAAGGAAACGAGACAGTATCTACACCGTTTTAACTTTTGTGTTCCAAACGATTTTTCGTATTTTCTCTCATTCCACATAAGTGAG